GCTTCCGAGGCTTTGCTCTGGCAAAGCCTCAGAAGCGCGGGAACCCGCCCGGTGCCCCTGGTCTGCTGGAGACGGTCTCCAGCAGACCAGGGGCACCGGAGCAGCTTACGAACGGGGCTTTCTCGCCCCGACTTCCGGGGCGAGAAAGCTCCGTTCGTAAGTGCGGATCCGACGTAAGTGCGGATCCGCGTAAGTCGGGGACTGCCTGTATATTGGTCACTTATCGTCTTGAGAATCTAAGTAGCTTGAAACAATGAATTTTAGAGATAGTGACTCTTTTGCCCTCCATTAATTTCATTGGGGTGTTGAGAACTCTAAACCTTACAAATGGTTAATACCAACACTAAGATCTATATGACTAAGGTCAGATTTACTTAGGTACGTAGTTCTGGCTGTGGAAAAATTTGCTTCCCCAGTGCGACTTAGGTTTACTAAATGCCCACTTTTGTCAGGGCTAGATCAATTTAAATATTATTCTGTTGTCCTAGTTACAGCCTCTCGGAGAGATGAGTTACCTTCATGGATGGGAAGAACCCCTTTTGTCAATAGAGGAAGCATCTAAGAAGTGATGTTATGGTGGGCAAGCTGCAGTGGTGTTGCTAAGCTGCTGTAGTGTAAATATACCCAAAAGTATTTTATTTCTACTCCATTGAAGTCATGGGTTCCCAAACAGGGGGTGTGAAGAAATTCCAGGGGGGGCGCGAGGCGAGCCAGACACACACATGTGAGTCAATCCCACCCCAAGTTTTGCTGCTATTTTTTTGGGAGGCCGGGGTGTGTGTGTGAGGGTTTCTCAAAAATCAAAAAGGGCGTGATGCAGAAGAGTTTGGGAACCACTGATTTAAGTGAATGGAACTGGGAATTGGAAGCTATTGCACAGAAGGAAATTCAGAGGAAGGAACAGAAGGAAAGTCATGGTAGTAGTTGAAAAATAGAAGGGAGAATAGAAAGGAAAGACAGATGAGGATAGGGGGTATTGTAATTGTAAGCCTATTTTCCCTATGGAGTGAATCTGGATAAGATGGCACTAAACAAATAGTAACTGGACTTTTTGTTTGTATAATCTTAATATATTGTCTATTCATCTTTATTATGCAAATTTTCCATTGACATCAGTGGGACTGAGAGTGGCATATAGTTGTACATTTATATCCCTGTCCCCAGTGTTATGAACTCTTAGTGATTTTATTGCCACTCTTGCAACACTTTGTGTCTTCTTAAAAGCTTCAGCTCTTGGAGTCATGTGGTTAGGTGAAAATCTCAGTTTGTTTTAAAAATTAATTTCTGGCCCTCATGGTTGCAGACAAAAGCTTAAAAATGTGAATCCTAAAGACTCAAAACCAGAAGGAAAATAACCCACTCCTTCCCCCCTTATTTATCTACTATATATTGAAGATTTGGTTTGTGGATTTATTTGTGAAAAATAGTCATACTTTGCTATTACACAAAATTTGGTATCTGTAGGTAAGTAATCCTGCCACTTTAAATTAGCTGAATGCACTACTTCATACTTTGGGATATGCTGAGTAAAAGCTTTAAATAATTATTATAATTATAATAATTATTTTTGTTTTTCATAAGAAAAGAAGTCATGACTTATGAGTAGAGTTTAGAAAAAATATTTGCTACCAAAATTAAAATCGAGTCGCCTATTCAACTATCATTTTAGTGCAAAGACAATTTTCACAGTTAGGGTATGTCTACACAGCGAAGTGGAGGGCTTATTTCGAAATTGGTAAACCTCATTCCAATGCTTTGTAGACGCTTATTTCAAAATAGGGGGCATCCAGCCCTTTCCAGGGTGCCGTGGTGGCCACTCTGGGCACAACCAAAAAAACCTCCCTGCCCCCCCCCCTCCGGGAGTCCTTAAAGGGGTAGACTCTGGCCACAGTCTACCCTGCCAGCCCAGAGCCAGCGGTCACTGCACCTGACCCAGTGGCCTCAGCATGAGCCAGTGGCAGGCCGGCCCCCGTCTGCCAGCTCCCAGGAGCCTGCCAGGGGCCAGAAAAGGCAGGCATCTTCCTGGTTCAGTGTGGAGATCAAGGACCTAATTCAGGTTTGGGGGGATGCCTCCAATGTCCATGATCTCCCCACTAGACGGAGGAATGCAACCGTCTACAGGCAGATGGGTACCAGCCTGGCTACCAAAGGCCACATAACGAACCCAGGAGCAGGTTCGCATGAAAATAAAGGAGCTGCAGCAGGCATATGCCAGGGCCACAGGGGCAGCTCCCAACCAGGGGCAGGGGCAGACCCAGACCCCTGCCCCTGCTTTGATGCCGTGGACTGCATCCTGGGGGGCAGGACAGTCTGTGTCCCCTCAGGTGGTAATCGATCCTGGGGCAGAGCTTGCTCCTCCTCCTGCTTTTTCCGCCTGCCAGGGGCCAGAAAAGGCAGGCATCTTCCTGGTTCAATGTGGAGATCAAGGACCTAATTCAGGTTTGGGGGGATGCCTCCAATGTCCATGATCTCCCCACTAGACGGAGGAATGCAACCGTCTACAGGCAGATGGGTACCAGCCTGGCTACCAAAGGCCACATAATGAACCCAGGAGCAGGTTCGCATGAAAATAAAGGAGCTGCAGCAGGCGTATGCCAGGGCCACAGGGGCAGCTCCCAACCAGGGGCAGACCCAGAACCCTGCCCCTGCTTTGATGCCGTGGACTGCATCCTGGGGGGCAGGACAGTCTGTGTCCCCTCAGGTGGTAATCGATCCTGGGGCAGAGCTTGCTCCTCCTCCTGCTTTTTCCTCCCCATACCTCCAGGGATGCTGAGGCCCCCGCACCTGTGGTCCTGGGAGACTGTTGGGCTGGTGAGACCCTCCCAACCCTGAGCTTCTCCTCCCCCATCCTCCCTTTGCTTCCCCCTGCCAGCTCCCTCCTCCCGGGTTTCCCCCTCCCCTTTCCCACCCTCCCTCTTCCCCTCTCGCACCTTCTTTCCCCAGACTCAGCTCAGTTTCATTCTTCCCCCACTGCAGCTTTGCTCAATAAAGAGGCTTTGTTGTAATGAACACGTGTCTTTATTGTATAGTAGGAAGGCGGGTTGGGGGGGTAAGTGGAAGGATGTGAGGGAGGAATGAGGCACAAGCCCCCAGTGGGGCACATCAGAGAGACTGTTACTGCCTGCAGAACGTGCTGCCAGACTCGTAGCAACACGTCCAGGAAAAGCACCAGAGTGCCCAGGATGGCTCCGGCTCTGTGCTGCAGAGTGCTGTGTTGTCCTGAGTGAGGGCAATCAGAGCACTCAGAGGAAAAAAATGCTTTGCTGTCCCTCAGCAAAAAACCTTAGAACCGGCTGTCCAGGGAGGGCCCTTTAAGCACAGATCTCAGATACCTTATGTGGCTGCTGCCTGAGGCTAAGTCCTGACCTGATGCCCTGCCAGAACCGGTTCCGGCCACCCTTAAGTGTGATTCAGCGTCCTATCAGTGTGGACATGCTATTTCGAAATTACAAAAATTGAAATGCATTTTGTGTCTAGACGCGTTGTTTTGAAATAACTTTTGAAATAATGCTGTAGTGTAGACATACCCTTACAAATCACAAACAAATTCAAATTAGTTACGGAAAGAGTAATGGAAGCTTTGCTGTTTCAAATGTACTAAGTATGGTAATTCAATAAAATTAATAATATTTGAAGTTAAAATCCTACAAATTTAAAACAGTTCTTTTACTTCCTTTTTGCAAGTACATTAATAAATTCTGTTACATATATTTAATTTCTTGAACTTTCTTGTAAGTGTAATCTATATAAAATGACCTTACTGGGTCAATGACAGGCCTCATCTAGTTTTCAATATTTTGGGGGCCTGACAACTTTTTTGGCTGCTTGGAGTTGGAAATGCTGAAACCATAATTTAAAAGTGTAATTCTTTCTACGGAATGAGTTTGATACTCCTAACCTAGCATTTGGTGAAGCAAGTAAAGGAAGGAAAGGGCAGATGTAATTAAGATCCTTTTGATTGATAAACTTTTATGACATTTTCCTGGATGTGGGAGAGAATGCTGTTTAAAGTATAACTTTTGTCGTTTCTGTAAAATTCACATACATAAGCTCAGTTTTGAAAAACTGGAAATTTGGGCTACTAAATAGACTTGATCCATACCTATAGTTCCAGGGGAAGAGGAGAGAAACATTATTGCCTAGTATTCTTTTTAGGTCTGTTGTTGTTGTTGAGAAATTATATCTAAAATGAAAAAGTACATAATTGTATATGTCTTTTCTACAGTGACTGAGAGGAATTACTATCACTTGCTGTTGATCCCACCATCTAAAACTTTGCTTTATTCATACTGTACATAGATTACCCAGTTTCCATTGTGCAAACTAAATATCACAACTCATCACATTCTTTCTTTTATAATTTATAACAGTGTTTTTCTTTCTTTCTTTAACCTTATTTATCACTGCCTTTGCAATAACTTGCTCTCTAACTTTTTCCATTTCTCTCTTCATTTTTTTTCATACAGTGTTGTTACAGATCTTATAGCAGTCGGTTTAAAGGTAGGAATCTTTTTCTGTCCTTCCATATGCACTTGTTACCCTCTTTATTTATAGCACATTTTATTTCTTGCCGATACCATATTGATGTTTGTGTAAATCATGTTTTATTGTGCTGTTTCATTAATGTTCCTGTATCTTTATTTCAGCCTTTAATATTTTTTTAAAAAACTGAGTGTTCAGCTGTCACTCTCCTGTCTCTTAGAAGGCTATATGAGTTTTGTTGACCAAACTTTAAAAAGTTTATTTACTGTAAGTAGAATTTAGTGTTACAAATAGATATTTTTTATGAAGAGCAGCAGTAGCTTTGTACTCAGGACTAGGGACACAAATACCAAATTATAATTGGGACAAGGACGCGTGTGTTCATTATTCATCTGAGAATCTAGTTCTGAATCCCACTTTACATTTGATTTTGTGCATGCTGTATTAAGAAACTGTAACAATTGTATTTAAAAATGCCAAATGTATTGTTAACATTACTTAACTCTAAGCATTACCACAAAAGAAATATCAGCCTTTTTGTACTAGGCACTATACATCTAATAGACTTGCATGTACATTTTATTGTTATTGACTTGTTATACATTTATAAAAATTCGTATGTAGAGAGACGTGACTAAAATTAAGACTTCCTCACAGACTGTCAGGGCTCGTCTAGACTACACTGAAGTTTCAAAAGTTTCAAAAGTAAACTTTCCTGTGGAATTTGCATAGATTCTTCTGATGCGGTTTTTTCAGCAATCCCCCCCCGTTTTTTCCCGAAAAGCTGCTTTTCGAAAAGGGGGGAGCAGGCTGCTGGAAAAAACACGCATCCCGGATACTTCCACTTTTGATTGGAAGAAGATATGCAAATTCCCGTGGAATTTGTGTATCCTCTTTCGAAACTTCAGCGTGGTCTAGACAAGCCCTCAATGTTTAAAGTCCAGTTTGTGTATCTAGGACTGGATATTTTGGTGCATAAATATTTTTAGGCTTTTGTACAGTTATTTTGAAGGATTGTGGGTGCACTTCTATACCATAGATCAGTTGGGGATAGTGTATGAATCTGGTATTGAAACAAAATACTTAAATTTGGTAATGGTGGAGTACTATTCTAGTTGATCAGCTCTGCAAAGAAATCTCATGAATAAAAACTAGACAAATGGGCGAGGAAATAAGTTGGATTAGATAATATCCTCCCTCAGAATTTTGGAAGAAAACACTGATGAGCATTGATATTAATGTTTCTATCAGCAGAAAGGGGACTCTTTTCCTATGGAATGTTTTCTAATCATCTTTCTTCCTTCCTTCTAAAATACTGTCGTCCTCCCTTTCTCCTGGAAAAAGCATGAGGAAAAATCAGTTTGATTTTTAGTAAGCAGATTTAATGAGTTAAAGGTTCAAATAAGTTTCTGTATAAATAAATTGTTCATAACCATGAATGCAGCAGGCTCACTGAGCACAGTATAAATTCAGATAATGCCAAGACAAACTGTCATGATATTCTCATCTTTTTCATATAGAGCTTCAAATGGAAACCTTGCCTATAGGTCTTGCCATCTTATTAGTTTCAGGTGCTATTGAGGGAATCCATATAGATAAGTGTCTTAGCCTTTAAGCTAAACATAATTGGCTATTAATCTCAGAGGGATAGCCCTGTTAGTCTTAACTTAAAGAAAACTTAAAGAACATTGGTCCTGTAGTACCTTAGCGATTAGCCAAAAATATATATAGATAGTATCATGAGCTTTCATGGGCACAAACCACTTCTTCAGATGACAGAAGTAGGTTGTGCCCACCAAAGCACATGATACTATCTATATATTTTTTGGTTGGTCTCTAAGGTGCTGTGGACCATTGTTATTTTATAGTTGACTGATTCTCTTTTCATTGTTTAAGAATTAAAAGTAATTTTTTAGTATCATGCGTTAGGTGCGTGTATAAATAATTCTTTCAGTTTCAGTTATCCACATTAATTGTGTATAGTTTGATTCTATTGTATAGTTACACAGAGAACCAGAAAGCAGAGTTTTGCTGGGCATGTGTAGATTTTTTGTGTGTACTTCTATTGTAATAATACAGTGCATTAGTAGCGGTACAAAATCTTGCTTATTTCATATTAATGGTTTGTACATACTTTCTTAAGCACTTTGAGGAACAGTGAATACAAAGAAAAAAAATGTAAGTAGGTAAATTGACTCTTGTATAGTAAAATAACTCCAAGTAGAGGGTATTGTTCTCAACATTTGTTAAAATGTCCATAAAATTATCTCTAGAAGATATTATCTAGTTTTTTGGTATTCTAGCTTCCACAGACTTGTGTAAGTGTTGAAGACTCTACCTATGTGATCACACCATATTACTGTTTTCAAGCCCCTTAAATCCATTGATAACTTTTATTTTTCAAGTTGAGAGGAATCACATTTAAGTGTACCCAGTGCCTGCAAGATGGAGGCTTTTACCAGCAATACCATCAAAAGCACATGTGCCAATGGGTGAAGGGATAAGATGTACATGACTACCACCTCTTCCTCATTTCCTTTTGATTGCATGACAACCATTGAAATGCCCCTGCTGCTTCTCTTCAGTGTGTCAGCTTTCATAGTTGTCTATATAGCTAGCTAATAATTTATAGTTCAGTTAGTCATTTTACTAATTCCTGGGAGAGAGATTATTAAAAAGTCCCTAGGGTTTAAACACTATTCAGAGTCCAGGGCACTGTTCTGAGCAGCCTTGGGAAAAGTTGGCTGATCTGCTTGAAGAACAAATTGCTCCTTTTTTACCTTCTTCCCCACCAGGACTAAAAAGGAAGCAATGCAGCCCATATCTGAATTGGACTGATTGAGAAGTGATTATTCCCCTTTATTCGGCTCTGGGAGGCCGCATCTGGAATATTGTGTCCAGTTCTGGGCCCCCTACTATAGAAAGGATGTGGACGCATTGGAGAGAGTCCAGTGGAGGGCAACAAAATAAGGGGGCTGGAGCGTATGACCTCTGAGGAGAGGCTGAGGGAATTGAGTTTGTTTAGTCTGCAGAAGAGAAGAGTGAGGGGGGATTTGATAGCAGCCTTCAACTTCCTGAAGGGAGGTTCCAAAGAGGATGGAGAAAGGCTGTTCACAGTAGTGACAGATGGCAGAACAAGGAGCACTGGTCTCAAGTTACAGTGGGGAGGTCTAGGTTGGATATTAGAAAAACTATTTCATTAGGAGGGTGGTGAAGCACTGGAATGGGTTACCTAGAGAGGTGGTGGAATCTCCATCCTTAGAGGTTTTTAAGTCTGGGTTTGACAAAGCCCTGGCTGGGTTGATTTAGTTGGGATTGGCTCTGCCTTGGGTAGGGGGCTGGACTTGATGACCTCCTGAGGTCTCTTCCAGCTCTGACTCTGTGACAAAGATACAGGGACTCTGATTCATTCTGTAGACCTTCTCCAACCACTTCTCTCGAAGCTCAAGGGAGCAAAAAATGTCACACTTTATCACCTTTATCAAAGTCAGAGTATTCCAGACACTATGACTGTTGAAAAATCTTCGAAGTTCTCTGGTATTGGTTCCAGACCCCACACATCTAATCATTCTCTGGTATTGTTTGAAGTCACACCATAAATGCAGTCTCAGTCGTCGTCTCTGTCAAGGCCAGTGTCCGTCAAGGCCAGTGTCTGTGTTGGATCCTTCTGTGTTGGATCCTTCTTCCTCTCCTCATTCTGTTTCTGCACTGTTGGCACAGATACTCTTCCTGAGGGGCTTCAGTTATGCAGGCTTTTTTGTTAGAAGGGATCTCCTTTGGTTTTCTTACCTGACTTTTCTGCTTGCTCCAGCAGTACAACCAAATGCCATTAACACTCTGTAGCTATTATGGCTCCATCAATACACTCCATTCACACCAGCACTGTCAGCACACTCATGGATTATGTTGGAACCAATCACAGGGCTGGTACCTTTGACATGCTCTGTAGCTAGCCTGACTCCCCAGCACCATCAGTGCACATGGCACTCTTGATTTAGTCTGTGGATTAACTTGTACCATTAGTGCTGATGACTCTGTCTTTTGACCGTCCCAACCATTGCCTGCTTTGAACCTTGTCTGTTTCTTTGCCCAGATATCTTCAAGCCCCAGTGGGAACTGCTTCTCTATTCAGAGGATGTTTGTTTTTTCTTTGAAATGTGTGGAAGAGGAGCCTGTTTCTCCTTTCAGATGTTTTAGATCACCGTACAAGAGGATGTTTGTTTTTTCTTTGAAATGTGTGAAAGAGGAGCCTGTTTCTCCTTCCAGATATTTTAGATCACCGTACGTGTCGTCTTCAAATACCAAACCTAAAGACAAAAATTGGGTTTCCTACAAGCAATTTACAGCTTGGGCTCACCCACCATCAGTATCTCACATTAAGTCTTTTCCTCCATGGCCCTACTAGGTTTGGGCTACCCTAAGACATTCTAGTTTTACTTTTTTAGTGCAGGAGTCTACTCAGCATTTTCCTGCAACCTGACGTCATGCATGTATCCTAGGGATATTAGAGTGTAACTGTTTAACAAATAAGATGATGCTTATCAGCTAATCGTCTCAATTACGCTGACTCCCAGGGCGGTGGCTTCGTTGCAGCAGGCTTTACAATAAGCTTTACGCTGCAGAGCCCACAGTGCAGGTAACCGTGTAACTACTGATATTTTTAGTGGTTAGCTATTATTATATTACATGATTTTTAACATCTCTAATGTGAAGAGGAATGTTCTTCCTCCATATCTCTTCCACTTTTCTGCATAAAGTGGTAACTACAGAGTCTTTTCAGGACCTGGGGAGGTGGGTGGTTACCTCTTTAGGAATCCAAGCAGAGATTGTTCAGGAGAGCCTGCATGCTTTCCTGGATGTCTTAGATTCCTGATCCAGGAAGGGGTTGCCTTTCCTATCAGTAAAGCTTTGCTAGACCCAGTGAAGGCTCCGGCAAACGTCAGCCTTTCTAACTCCTATAACTACTCCAATAAACCATTTTTGTTGTTTAAGTTTTTCCTATAACTAGGATAGACAGA